GGATGGAAGTCTGCCCTTTCCACCCCAGCCCAGCCACGCCCACCGTCTGAGGGCCTCTCTGAAATCTGAGGGCCTGCCTAGATGAAGTCCCCAAACCTGCCTCAGTGGCCCTTTCCAAGGCCTAACAAGCAGGAGATCGTGCTTTTCTTATGTCTGACCGAAGTCCTTCCCTCTGCACCAGGGCCTGAGCCAGAAAGAACCACAAACCACAAAACAACAACCAGAGCCAAAGAGAGATTGACTAGACTCTGATTTAGTTTTCACAGATCTTCTTTTCATTCTCCCGATACTAAGGAAATAGAATTCTCCCAAACACCAAAGCAAAGGGCAGAGTCAGAGGGAAGGACCCTGCTCTCCACTCCCAGGGGTGGGGCCCTCACCAGATGGCTCACTCCAGCTTCCAGCCCTCTGACTCGCAGGGCCTGGCTCCTCCGCAGGCCAGCCCCTCAGGGTTCCGTGAGGAGGCCTGGGCTGCCCCCATCCCCCCGTCCCCCTCTTCCTGGAGCCTCCTGTCGCACTGTCCTGCTGGCAGCCCCTTCCTCCAGCTTTCCCCTGTTCCCTCCAGCATTATTTCATGTCTATTCACCTTTGCCTCCGCTGGCCCGGCGCAGCCCAGGTGCTCAGAAGAGCGGGGGACTGTGAATGGATGAGTGGAGTCTGTTTTGAATCTCCTGAGCTGTTTAGACGCCTCATCGCCCACATCTCACGTTTCCACGGAGGGAGGGGCCAGCCGCTCAGCTCCCCACAGAGGGAAGTGAGGGAGAACCTGAGGCCTCTCCCCACCTTCCTATAAGTCCCCACACCCATGGGAGCCCTTGTGGCCCCGAGATGCTGCACTGCAGGTCTCCTCTGTGGCCCCCTCCCTCACATTCCCCTGGGGCCCCCGCACTGGCTGGGCAGATGTGGTTTGCTGGACAATCTCCTCCTAAATGGACAGGCCTAGACCCAGGGAGCAGGTCACCAGAAGCAGTGCCCACCCCAGCTGCCCCAGCGACAAAGTGCATCCTTTGACTTCCAACTGGATGACTGTGGGTCCATGGGGACAGGGGATGACCAATGAGCTCCCTCAAACCCTCCCCCAGCACAACCTCCTCCCTACTTGGACCACAACAACTTGAAGGGATCGTGCCATACTCATCACGATATCTCTGCATCCCCCCTGGCACACTGCCCTCATCCCCCCTCAGCATGTCTGGAAGTGAACGAACGAGGCAATGTGAGTGAATGATTCCTGGGTGCTCTGCCCTTCTCTCCCAGGTCATCTGTTTCTGTACTAATAGAACCAGCAGCCCTGCTCCCAGGCACCACCCCCAGCCCGGGCCATGTTCTAAGAGCAAGGAGGAGAGCGCAGGTGGGGTCTGGGCCCAGGACCCCTTCACTTCCCCCAGCTGCTCTCGCTCCCCAGCCTGGGTCGGAACCCTCCCAAGTTCAGAAACCCCGGACCTCACTTCACAAGCCA